TATATAAATAAATATAGCTAAATTTTTATTTATTTTAATTTTATATTATATTAAAATACTATTAAGGTTTTATATATTTTATATTTAAATATATATAAATAAACTTAATTATATAATTATATTTTTTTATAATTTCCTAAATTAAAATTTAATTATTTTAAATATAAGGCTAATAAGATTTTATTATTAATTTTAAATAAATAATAGTTCTAAACTTATTTAATATTATTTTATAAGTTTTTAAAGTATTAAAGCTAGAATAATCATTAATATAGCTATTTTATAATTTAAATAATTAAAACAAGTTTTATTTTTTAATAAATAATAATAATTATTATAAAAATAAAAATTTACTAATTATTCTTATAAATAGAAATAAAATTTATAGTTTATTTATTATTCTTATTTTTAAGTACTTTATATAATATTATAATAAAGATATTAAAAAAGCTAATAAAAAATATTTATAAGAAATATTTAATATAATATATAAATTAATATAAATAAATAATAATATAATTATAAATAATAATATAATTACGAATAATAATATAATTACAAATAATAATATAATTACGAATAATAATATAATTATAAATTATATATATATTATAAGATATTAGAGCGAATTATTACTATTATATTTAGAAAGTATAATAATATTTAAAAAGTATAGTAATATTCAAAAAGTATAGTAATATTTAAAAAGTATAATAATATTTATTTTTAATTAGTAAAAAAGATATTTAGTTTTAAGTATTTTATAATAAATTTTTTAAGAATTCTCGATTATTTTTAAGTTAATAGTAAATTTAATTATAAGATTTTAGAAAATATAATTCGTTTTAAGTTAAAGAAATTTACTAAAAATAAAAAAGCTCTTATAATACTTAAATAATAAATAAAATAATAAATTTTATAAAGTAGTTTATAAATAGCCTAAAGTGGGTTAATAAGTAATAATAATAATAAGTTATAATATTAAGAAATTAAAGAATAAATTGGATTAATTATTTAAATAAAAAATAAAACTATAAAACTATAAATATAAAAGCTTAAAAAAAAGATAAAGAATATTTTATTATAAAAACTAGATAACAAATATAAAGTATAAGTTTTTAATTATTAAACTAATAATAAGTAATAATAAATTTATAATATTTTATATATATAATTTATTACTTTATAATTATATATTATAAATAATAATATAAATAATATTTATAAAATCTATAAAGTATAAAAAGTAGTTTATATTATAATAAATATAATAACTTTTTAATTTTATATAAATTCGCAAATATAATAAGACTTTTATTAATAAAAATATAAAAGAAAATAATTTTATTATTAGAATAAAAGTTAAGGCTTATAAGCTTTAGCTAAAATAAAACTAATTATTATAAGTATTAATATTAGTATAGCTTATATAAAGAACTTTAAAAGAAATTAGTTATTATTATATAATATTTAGAAGTTATAATTATAAATTATAATAAGTAATAAAAGAGCTTTATTATTATTAATAAAGATATATAAAATAAAGATTATTTATTTCGATTTATTTTTATAGGCCTTAAAGATATAATATTAGATAAAGCAAATAAAAAGAATCTTATTATAAATAAAATAAATAATTGCTTTAAAAACGAATTAATAAAAGAGGAATTAGAAAATTATAAAAAAGTATTATTATATTAAGAAGCTCTAGATTCGTAAATTATTTTTATTATTTAATTATTAAAACTATAATTTCCAAATATAAATTATATTTATATCTTATAATAAAAATTAAAAATAAGATAATAATATTAAAAGATATTAGTATGGCTTCTTTATTTATTTTATTTAAAAGAAATATAAATTTTATTAGTTATAAATCTTTTATTTTAAATATTAATAAAAAGAATTTTTTATAAATATATTAATAAATTATAATAATATAATAATTAGAGTTTTCTAAATTATTTAAAGTTCTCTAATTCGAATATAATAAATAATTTATTAGTTATTAAGCTAAACTTTATAAACTAAATAATATATTCTATAAAAAAAGTAATAAATAAAATCACTAATATATAATATTAGAAAATATAATTTATTTTAGAGTTTGCTTTTAAAATTTAAAAGCCTTTTTTTAAGTATTTTATTTTTTGGGTTTAGGTAAATAATATAATAACTTTAAGAATTTATATTAAAGAATTAAAGAAAACCTTCTGGTTCTCAAATTTAATAATAATAATATTAATATTAAGAAACTTTTAAAAAGATAGCCCTTTAAAGAAAGTATAAAGAAATAAATTCTAATTATTAATAATATAAATAATTTCGTATTATTTTATAATAAAATAAATAATAGTATCTTATTATTATTATTATTTAAATATTTTTTATTTAGTACTTTTAAAGAAATTCTTTTTATAATTAAGAATTATAATATTATTACTTAATATATTACTTAAATATAATTGAAATTAAAGAAATAGGTTTCTCAAAATTAAAGGAATTTCTATAAAAAAAAGTCTTTTAAAATAAATAATTACTTAAAGACTAGAATAATATAAATATATTATTAATTTTATTTGCAAATTTATTACTTATAGTTATATAAGCTATTATATATTTAAATTCAAAAGATATATAATTTTATAAAAAAAGTAATAAAAATAAGATTATATTATTATAAATAAACTTTAAAAGTAAATAAAAATATTAAGAAATAAATAATATAATAACTATTATATGAATTGTTTTATTTAAATAAATTTAATATTAGAATAAACTAATAATAAATTATATAAGATTTATTATTTATATTAAAAAGTAAAATATTTCTTGAAATCTATTATTAGAATTAGTTTTATTATAAAGAAATAATATATTTAGTACTTTAAAAGAATTTGAATTTTATAAAAAATAATAAATTCTATAATATATATTAATTAGTTTATTTAATAATTTAGAACTAGATAAGATATAAAAAGCTAATATTAATTTAAATAAAAATAACTTTAAGAAAATTAGTTAATATTATCTTATATAATAATTATTAATATAAAAAGAAATAAATAATATATATTTTTTATAAACTTTAAGTAACTAAATTATTTAATTTACTAGAAAAGTTAAAGAAAGAAAAATTCGATTTATTAAATAAGATAAGGAAATATTAGTTTAGTATTATATAATATAGCATTATAGCGAAAATATATAAATATATATTAGAGCTAAAAATAAAGGTATTAGGGAAAAAGTACTTTAATATACTAGTAAATATAAATAGCCTTAATTTAATATTTAGTAATTAAAAGAAATATAAAAAGGCCAGAAAATATATCGAGAAATATTAGCCCTAAAAAAGGAGATATTAGAAAAGAAATACTCTAAAATACTAATTATAATAAATAATCTCGATTTAGTGTTTAGTTTTTAGGAAAAATATATAGAGGCTAAGAAGATATTTCAAGAAATATTAGCCTTAAAAAAAAGATATTAGAAAAGAAATATCTTATAATATTAGGAAATATAAATAATTTTAACCTAATACTTATTTATTAAAGGAAATATATAAAGGCCAAAAAGATATTTCGAGAGATATTAGCCTTAAGAAAAAAGATATTAGAAAAGAAATATCTTATAATATTAGGGAATATAAATAACTTTAGTTAGATATTCAGGAAATAAAAGAAATATATAGAGGCTAAGAAGTTATTTTGAGAGATATTAGAAAAAAAGAATCTTGAAATACTAGTAAATATAAATAAGATTAGGGAAATACTTTATTACTAAAGGAAATATATAAAGAGTAAGAAAATATTTTAAGAAATATTAGCTCTAAGAAAAAAGATATTAAGAAAAAAGTATTTTATAATATTTGAAAATATAAATAATTTTAGTTAAATATTTAGGAAATAAAAAAAGTATATAGAGGCTAAAAAGATATATTAGAAAATATTAGAAAAAGAATACTTTATAATATTAATAAATATAAATAAGGTCAGAGAAATACTTTATTACTAAAGGAAATATATAAAGACTAAAAAGACATTTCGAGAAATATTAGCTTTAAAAGAAAAGTTATTAGAGAAAGAGAACCTTATAATATTAGAAAATAATAGCTTTAAAAAAGAAAATACTTAAAAAAGAATATTTTGAGATATTATTTATAATAAGTAACTTTATTATATATTTTTATAAATAAAGGAAATAAAAAAAAATAAGAAGATATTATAAAATATATTAGCTTTAAAAAAGAAAGTATTAGAAAAAAAGTATTTTAATATATTAGTTAAGTACTTAAAAAATAAAGGAAATATATAAAAGCCAAGAAAATATTTCGGGAAATACTAGCCCTAATAAAGAAAGTATTAGAATTAGAGAACCCTTTAATATTGCTTATTATATATTACTTAAGAAATATAATTAATGAGTAAGAGAGGCTAAGGCTAGGGAATTAGTAAATCTTCTTATCTTTTATTTTTATTATTACGGTTTTTCTTTTATTTAAGATTAGGAAAATAGTAATTCTTTTTAGCTTTTATTTATATTATTACGGGTTTATTATTATTATAATTATTTTAAAGTTAATATTTTTAATAATTATTAATAGAAAAATATAGTTTATGAAATAAGGCTTTTAATATTAATACTCGAGTAAAATTGCCTTTTAACTTCTATAATACTATTCGTTTTTGAAATTGCCTCCTCACTTGAATTACTAGATGCCATAGTATTATGGTTTATAATACTTAGGTTCCTGCTCTCGGTTAGCGTGCCAGTCTTGTTAAAGACTACCATGTCAAGAGCAGAAGCCTCTTGAAACGCTTCTTCACTACGGGCTCCCTCTAGCAAATGCTCGAAGGCTATAGCAATTTAGTCATATTAGTTGCATTCTCGCACAACTCGAAGCTACTAGTGTCAGCATCAAATGATAATACTATTAAAGTCTGGGACGCGGCTACAGGCTTCCTCTAGCAGACTATTACAGTTCACGGTTATGTCACGAGTTTATTATTTGATATTTCAGGCTTGACCCTTATTATAAATATCGGCCGAATCAAGGTAAAAAGAACTAAGCTTTCCAGTTTGTCCGAATCTTTTAAAAGGCCAGTAGTAACAGTGACTAGAATCGAAATAAAGTCAACAGAACCTCTCAAAGAATGACCGCGCTCCAAACTCGTGCACAAGAGCCCATCCAGCGTTTGGACATACTATATAGCCAACACTTTCATAACCGTCGAGTGCTCAACACCTCCATTCTCAATGACCAAGACGCGCCACCAAAATCCCTTGACCAAGCACAGGATCTTCCCCGCCCCAAAACTTCCACTTCCTAGCAGCCTCCTGCATCTCCTTCCAAGCCCTCAACCTCTTCGCCTCCACCGCAGCCCCCATACCCCTCTTCGCCATGTACTCCTTCCCATCAAACGGTTTCCACGGCCACTCATCCCTCTCACATCTGTCCCATACTCCATCTAACAACTCCCTACCCTTCCCGCCCTCCACCGGCGGGCTGGGCACCTTCCCTTCCGTGAAGTACGCTCTCACTTTCTCAATCGTACATTTCGACACGGTGGAAATACTACAATGGCCTTCAGATTCCTGCTCAATAAGCCCTGCACCAACGAACTTCTTCGCCATTTTCACCCCCGCGAACAACGGCGTTACGGGGTCGGCGCTATTGCTGATAAAGAGCAGGGGGAACGACGTTTTAATCGGCTTGAGCTTGTGCGCTGGGTGATCATCCCAGCGCATCGGTGGGTCCACCGCTTCGATCTTCCAGCCATCGCAGCCGATCATCAGCGTCATCCAGATGTCGGCGAAGGAGGATGAATTGGACATTTGTTCGAACACCGTTTCGAGATTTGAGAGGGTTTCATTCAGCTATTGATGGTTATCCTCAAAGAGAGCTCTTGAAAGTTGGGGCTGAGGCAGACCAACCGGATACCGTTTATCACTGCACATGATGGCGGCCTGCGCGTCGCCGGGATAAAAACGTGCCGGCATTGGCGCTGCGCAGAAGTCTCGAAGGTCAATTCTGGAAGGGAGATATACGAACTGGCTTAATAGTTCTCCAGTCCCTCGGTCAAAATCATCAAGTACCATAGCGATGAATGGGAAAGTTCCCATAGGGGAATAGAGCGTTGAGAACAGAATCAATTTGACGAGACTGTCACTAATGGCAGCCGGCGCCTTAGTCTGATGATCGACGAAGGTGATAGGAGTCTTCTTGATCTTGGCCATGATAGCGTGGAAGCGGGATTCAATATCTGTGGCTTTGTCGTCTTTCCGATACAAAGCACATCTTTCTTCGGCTTCATAACAGTATTTAAAGAATGAAGCGAGAACTTTGTCGGCGTCTCGAACACTGTCGACCCAGACCGGTCCAACGTAGTGGTCTGCATCAATGACTCCATCCAAGATCACTCTACCAACGCGGTCAGGGAACATAGATGCGAATGTGGCTCCAAGAAGTGTACCGTAGCTGAAACCCCAGTAAACCAGCTTGCCCTTTGTATCAAGACTCACCGAGTCTTGATCATCGACCACTTGTTCTGCCCGAGCAGCTAGACTCTCGGATTTTCCATCCGCGTCAAAAGCCTCGTCTTCCAGCCCATCAGTCCAAGCATCCCAAGCATCGATGATACTAACCATGTCTCTAGCAACGCTTGGAGTATCTATGTGTCTTAATATGCTATCTTTCCCGTATAACCCATCCTTCTCTCCACACAATTTCGCCAGAGCTCTGGCACGAACATCCAGTTTCTTTAAAGAGTCGGAGCTCGAGTTGACGACTCCGATTTCCAGACCAGTGAGCTGCCACGTCAGTCTGTGGGCTAAGCCACGAACGTAGTCCTCTTTCTCTGGATCTGGAGCCAAAACCAGGCTCTCTTCAGTTGCAAGCGGGTTGGAGATGGAGTCAGCGCTTGGGGTGTAAGGTGGGTAAGAGAAACAATCCGCCCGTGGAGTCGTGGCTCCGATTCCACGAGGATCGAATCCAATGACATCCTGATCGGGGCCGACAATCTGGTGGATTCGAGGACCAAAGCCCATGACCATCCCGACGCCAGAGCCACCTGGACCACCGGGGTTAAGCAGCAACGGCGATTTAGAGTACTTCTTAGATGCAGTGTGATTATCGCCAGGGAGCATGGTGAGTGCGATATGGACTTTTGGATTGTCTTTCGAGGCGTTCAGGGAACGATGATAGTCCATTGGCACAGTGAGACGTGCACAGAGGAATATCTCGAAGCATGGGTGCCATTCCAGCTTCTCGCTGGGAATGATCTGAATCGCAGTCAGTATTTGGAAATGATTCGGACATAGTTGGGTGAAGGAGTAGAGACATCTTCGAATTCCAGTTGCCCCCAGCGATTAAATGCTCCTCCCGTTTCAGTCGGCCCACAACTCGGCCCAATAGCGTGTGCATGTATACGAATATACGACCACGAGATCCATATAATCGCAGCGAGTATTATTCCCGTGACTATATGGCGCCCCTTCCGATGAGTATCGGGAGGGTTATGGAGTGCGATCACTTGGGTTAGAAGACCAGTCTTCTCTTTGTTTAGATCCTGTTGGAATGTCTTTTGGTCCATCTTCGCGCTTGTTATCTCCAAAGGGGGAGATGGCGACGCGCAACGGTCAATGTAGTATTGGATTCTGGTGTTTTTACGGGGCAAGAGCACGGGGCAAGAGCGCGGGGCACAAAGTGTTGCACCTCGCGTGCGGACTCTCAAAAGAATGACTCCTTCCTCTAGGCACTTGTGGGCAACGTAATATCCAGCGATAGTATCGTTTTGCCTTCTCCTAACGGCTTCGATTTATTTGTGGTTTTATGACTGCAACCATGGCTGATTCAAGGAAGGACAGCATGGTGGACGATCTCATTTTCCAGCCGCTTCGCGTCTTCTCCATCAGCTGCCCAGTGGGCCCAGACCCATGCATCAACTATCAAAGTTTACTGAACGAGCGACTGATAAAGCTACCTGATAAGCTCCTCCGGAGCTTCTGCCTAATCTAGTGAGTCATCCAGCGACTCATGCCTTCGAGTATGTGACTGATTCTCACCATCTTCGTCGTTTATATGTTCCACTAATGGCACGGCCGCCTTCAGCCAATACGTTTGGTGGTTGAGTACCGTTGGTGCATCCTCCCTACGCGTGACGACTAAGTGTCCATGCAGGATCGGGAAATTCCAGCAACCCTGACAATCCATAGGGAAAGGTGATTTGTTGATGGGGTCTCGAAGGAGCCTAAGGTCATAATTGGGAATTGTGGGATTCGAATCGCCCCACGAAACATCGTGAAGTAATTGGCGCTCGTAACAACGGCTGTTTCAAATAGACATCTCCAGCTTTCTACGGACTCCCTGGTGGTGAAGCACTGAAGTGGCATGATTTATGGTATTCACTAGGCGTCACATCAAAGGCCGAGACCTTATGAATTGGTTTTCTACCGAGGCAAGGCTATGAGACAAGCCAGCATTATATCATCGACAATCAGGCGCTGTGGATCAGAGTATGTGGCAGGCATGATGAATCAACGAGAGGAAATCTTCGCACATGTGAAATCTTTCGTGCATGTGCGACGGCAAACTCCTTGAGAATCAGCTGGAGGCCATGTGATCCAATACGCCAAATCGCAGATTTCAGAAACGACTCAGCTAACGTCACCCAAAAATCGTGATAGGCGGGATGTCGACCTATAGGGGATCCTTGCTTCATATCCACGTATAGCACCCCTCCTCTTTGTCCAACCCACAAGGCGGGCTGAACACACCTCAGAGTTGCTCCCCAGTAAGTCGTCCTCTACTCTGCTATACATAATCCTACTATCTCATTCTTTACGAAAATTTCATCTCTGGAATGCTGATATTTTCAAAGCATCTTGAGAGCTTTGTCTAACTATACTTAACACTCACGAGAATAATTATGGACTCGTCTTTCAAAGATTACCAGGCGTGGTTCTTTTGCTGGCTTATTTTCGGTCTCCTGGTCTGTAATACCAGTAGTGAAGACAGGTTGAGTATACGACCAACCATCACAGCTGCACCATTTCTGGAGGATATTCATCAAGCACTCAAAAGGGAAGCGATTACTCTCGACCTCAGCCTATGTAACGAAGCAGTGTGCTCATTGGTACAGTTCCCGGACGGGTACTATTGCACTCAGCGTCTTGGGATTTGGGCGACTTGCTGTCCGAGGTGAGCTTTCCAAGCACAGCGACCTCAAGTTTACAATTCTTAATGTTCCAAACAACCAGGAGCCAGATTTGCTTTCCTATGACTACCTGCATTCCCCATGCCTCGCTCTCCAGCGGGACTAGCACAGCTTCGAATCCCAATGCCATTACGTGGTAAGAAATCAGCTTCGTCAGATGGACATGTGAGATTAATCCGCCATAGTTCCGATCCCGCCTCCCCAATCTGCAACACCTACATTTTTGCCGCTTACTCTAGCCTGACGATGGCACTGTGCGAAGCCATTAGCGTGGTCGGTAGTAATACGTTTACCTTCCCTGATACCTTCTCATTAACCTCACCTTCAACATCAACTTCAACACCGACTCCAACACTGAAGCCTGCTCAAACGTCTCATATTTCGGCCGGGGCCATCGCCGGAATCGCAATCGCAGCTGCTGTAGTGGGTGGCGCCCTTGTATTCGCCTTCTTTTACTTCTTTCTCCGGGCCCACAGAAGCCGAAGCGCACCTCCCCAAGATCTGGCACGTGCAGCTCCTCAAAATGCAAAACCCCATGGCGCAGAGCTCCCCACTGACCATGTGGGCGAATGAGCAACCACTGGCTCCAGCGCAGCATGCAGTCCCTCTCCCCCGACGAGCAACGACTCTCCCGCCTCTACGGCAAGCTCCCTTCCAAATCCGACCACCTAGCCGAGCACCTCAAAGAGTGCAAATACTTCGACTGCGGTGACTACGGTCTCTCCAAAGCCGGAAAAGCCAGTTCGGTCGATACCGGAAGCGTTGGCTCCCAGCATCCTCTCCCAGGGAACATCCCACATCTCTCTTCCCCCGGCATAGGCAGCGCAAGCCAGGGCGGTAGTGGCAATAGCAATGTTCAGCCGGGAGTTGCTAGTGGTTCACAGAGTGGAAGTCCGGTTAAGGAGAGTAGCCTTTTAAATACGGAGACGAGTATTGAGGAATTGGAGGACAAGGATAAGGTGGTTGACAAGGCGAATGATAATGTTGGTCCCCTACCTACGAAGGACGGTATTCCGATCGGAAGATAGGCAGGGACTCGGGGGTTCCGGAGGCTTGTTTGGGAATTATAATGGGATTATCATTGATGCTCTGGCGTTTAAGGCTTCGACAATCGTTGTGAGTGACTAATTAAGCAAGAAAAAGTTTATTGTTCATGCCGGTACCAGTGCTCTGGCCCCATTACCATCTCAATCAATCCCAATTCCTGTCGGTGTATTGCCTCGGCCTCGTCGTATTTGCCCTGCCTGCCCAGCACTGCTGCTAGGTTGTTCATGCTCGCCAGCATCCCCGGGTGCTCAGGCCCTAACACTGTTCCGTACAGTTCAGCCTTGTCAGACTTGCCTTGCCTCCGAACCTGGTCCAATACCTTCAATCTCTGTATATGAGGTTGTATATGTGCGATTTTGCGGTTCTCGGGAGTGAGGATGAGCTAGAGTGGAAGGTAGAGAGGCTGGAGGCGGCTCCTCTTCCTCCTCCGCTTGGATAGCATAGGCCACCGTCTTTGCCGCTTGTGATAGGCGATCTGCTGCGTTATACGCATCGCGGCGATTGTCTCTCGATTGTGCAGGTACTTGTACCGAGCATTAAGCCATTCGTATTACTACTGCCAAGGCGGCTAATCGTCTCGATGCGTGAGGAAAGCTATCCGGTTATTTAGCCCGGGATTCTCGATGCCGAGCGGCTACCATGGGAAGAGCTTCTTCCTGCGTATCCGTGCCTTTAGCTATGCTCGGACTTTAGGTACAATGCAATAATGCGGGCTGGATATCGTGAGATAAGGAAGGCCACGGATCTTTAACAAGCTCCATATTTCTGGGTTATTTATAGAAGATACTATATCCTAGTAAGGAAGGCAAAGTTAAAGCCAAGAGACTTGTATGAGATGCCAGGAGGCATAGACAAGCTCAAAAGCTTTATAGGCATAATTAGTTATTTGCTATTACTAGTTTATAGTAGTATAATTTTCGAGATACGAGATACTAAGAGACCGAATATTACATAGAATAGCGATATCCTAGCCGGGGCCTTTCTGGAAAAAGATAACCAGGGTCCGGAAATTATTAAAATAAAGGGCATTACTAATATTAAGGTAAATTAGTATAATTGTTATATACTTTATAATAGCTAGATATGGCTAAATAAGGTAAATTATATATAAGGTATATAATATAGATACTATTACATAATAAGCCCTATATATACTTATTTTACTATCTATTAGTAATAAGTAAATATCTGTAATTATATACTTAATAATATAAGAAGTAATCTCGGTTAATATAATATTATATTATTATAGAAAATAAAGAAGCTTTAGTATATAAGAGAAATAATAAGTATAATATATAATTAAAAATTAGGCTTTAAGTTAATAAAGAAAAAAGAAAAGAAAAATAGTAAAATAACTTTAAGATTAAAAGGAAATATAACTTATTATTAATAAACTTTTTATAAATTATGAATTATAATAAATAATTCATAGTTTTAAAGTTAGTAATAGAATATAAGTATTATTACACGTAATATTCTATAATAAAGAGAGGTATTTAATAAAAAATATATTAAATTCTCTTTTATAAGTAAGAATTATTATATTTATCTTATTATTTCTCGAATACTATTCTTATAATAATTCTTTTTCCTATTATATTCTTAATTATTTAAGCTATTATTTTGCTTAATATCTTATAATAAAGCAAATTAAGTTATTAATTTTATCTCTAAAGAACTAATTGAGATTAGTAATAATAAGTAGATTTAAAAGGCTATTAATCTTATAAATATAAGAATTTCATACTAAAAGTACTATTAACTTAATATAAGTAATTTATAATCTTATAAAAATAAGAATATCTTAAAACTCTAGATAAAGTAAATTAGATTCCTAAATTTAAATAAAATTACTAATGCCCTCAAGTATTCTATATATTATCTAGCTTCTCTAATCTAACCCAAAGTATTATTATTTAAGTAATAAGCTCGAATTCCTTCTTAATACCTTTAAAACAATAATTTATTTAGGTAAAAAATATAAAAATATAATTAAAAGGCTATAAATCAAGCTATAATTAGTTCTTATAATATTATTATAAGAAGAATATTTAGTAAGTTTATTATAAGGCCAGATTATTAATAGTATTATATTATTTACTAATTATTACTAAATTAATTTAGTAATTAATTAGTATAATATAGCAAGTTATACTTTATAAAAATTGCTTTATTTTAATAGTTTTAAGGTTTTAGTTATATATTAAAAGCTAAGGGCCTTTTATACTTAACTTATAGAAATTATATAAGAAAGCTAGCTTTTTTATAGTTCTAGAAAATAATTTCTTTTTTATATTTAATTAATTAAGCTTTTATAATTATATATTATTTATGTTTTATTATTTATATCTTTATTTTTATTATTTTATTATTAAATTACGTTTTATATTCTAATATACTTTATATAAGTTTTTATTTTATTATGATTTCTCTTTTATATTAATTATATTATTATTACTTTTAATTAAAGTAAAAGTAATTAAAATAAGAATAATATAAAAGTAATAATAATAAAAATTGCAAGTTAAGATAAAAGTAAAAATGTTTTTTTATTAATATATTTCTTTTTTTATTAGATTAATTTACTAATTAATAAGCTATAATATATGTAATTCTTTAAGAAATTATTAGTTATTTATAATATAATATTATATCTTTATTAAAATAAGCTTATTATACTAATATTAGCTTATTATTCTAATAATATATTATTATAAGTTATAGATTTCTAGTTTAATATAAGTAATTAAAAGCTATTATATCTTAGAAATTTCACTTAATAATTATTTTTTTAATAATATATAATTCGCATTAATATAAGAAAGAAATTATAATAAAATAAAAACTTATATAAAGTATATTAGAATATAAATTATAAGTTATAAATTATAAGTAATATATAATTATAAAAGCTTAATTAATTAAATATAAAAAAGTAATTCTTTTCTAGAATTATAAAAAAGCTAGCTTTCTTATATAATTTCTATAAGTTATATATAAAAGGCCTTTAGCCTTTAATATATAACTAAAATCCTCAAACTATTAAAATAAAGTAATTTTTATAAAATATAACTTATTATATTATATTTAATTCCTTATTCATTTATACTTGTTTTCTAAAGACTAAAAGCTAATAAAAAATATTTATTTAAAGTTTAAAATAATAAAATAATAAATTTTTTTTATTAATAATTTTAATTTCTTTTTAATATATTTAAAATATAATCTATTATTTTTAAATAGTCTTATTTTATATTTCCGAACTTATTTAAAGATATTTGAAATTTACTTAGCTATATTCTTATACTAAATTTAATATAATTCGTTTTATTAATTTAAATTTATCTTTAATTATTAATTAATCTTAACCTTTATAGCTAGATATTAAAGAAGTTTATTATAGCGAATTATATTAATATACTTTAAATAAATAACTTCTTTAAAATTTATTTTATTTATAATATTCTTAAATTTGCTTTTAATAAAAAAAAAGCTTTTAATAAAAAGACTTAATAACTTTATAAAAGACTTTATTCTTATATATTTTATTTTAAATAATAATTAGACTTATTAGAATTATAATAAAAGTTTTACTAAATAATAAATTATTATTAAGCTATATTTTAATCTTTATTTTATTCGAGAATTATTATTCATTTATAATTTCAGGCTTATAAATTATTTAATTAAAAGCACTTATTTATTTAGTTAAATAAATTATACTCGAATTTTTTTCTTTTATTACTTTTATTAAATACTTGCCTAATTTCTTTATATTTTCCGGTTCGAAATTATTAGAAATAAAGAAATAATTAGAGTTCTTAAAGAACTTCTTATTAAAAGTAATTGCTTTCTTATAATTTATAAGAAAAATATAACTAATATTCTAATATTTTTTATTAAAATAAAACTCGCTATTTAGAGCTTTAGTAATAACTAGTATAATAGCTAGTATTATATAATTAATTTTAGCTAAAGGAATTAGTTTTAGCTAAGGTTTTAAGTTAAGGTTTCAAGCTATAATATAAATTAAGCTCGGGTTTTAAATTAAGTTCGGTATTTTAATAATTTTAATTATATTTACTTATTTATTACTATATCTTTATTTTTTTCTTAGCTTTAAATCCTTAAAATATTGGAATTATTAATTTTTAAGCCTTATTCTATTATTTTATTTCTGCTATTATAGCTAAGAAATATAAATATTTTACTTTTAATTATAATTTCAAGTTTAATAAAAGTATTATTTATATTAAAGTTATTAGAATTACCTTTATATAGAAATATTAATATAAAAATCTCAGAATTATATAAGTTAAAAATATTATTATAATAAGTAATAAAAGCATTATATATTAAAACCTTTATATTAAAATCTAATATATTAGAAAGATATATTAAAAGAATATATATTATATTAGTTTATTAACTAAAGACTATATATAACTTATTAATTATTATTTAAGCTATTAAATTATTAAAAACTAATTTAAAGATATTTAATAAGTATATTTAATAATAAATTAAAAATATTATTAAAAAACTATATTTTATAAATCTAAAAAAGAAGTTTCTATATTTAATTATTTTTATAAATACTTTATTTATAAATAATAATAAATATATTAGTATTATTAGAAATATTCTAGCTTTGAAATTATATAATATAACTTATAACTTTATTATAAGTAATTAAATTAAATTTATAATTAATAAAATACTAGTAATAAATCTATTATTAATTATTTATATAAATTCGAAGTTATTATATAAATATCTTATTAAATTATATATTACTTAAAAGAAATATTTAATAATTAATATAATATATTTTTATTATTATTAATTTATTAAAAGTATATAATATAATATAAAATATATATAAAATATATATAAAATATATATAAAATATATATAAAATATATATAAAATA